CCCCAGGGTCTGCCACCACCGCCGCCCACGCCGTGCCTGGAGGATGGTTAAGCATTTTAAGGGCTTTAAGCTTTTTAAGGGTTTAACGCCTGGCAAACGGCAGGCTTGAACGCCCATAAGAAGGCATTGATCTGGCCTTGGGGTAGCTTTTGCCTTGGGGTGCCTGGAGGATGGTTGAGCATTTTGAGGGCGTTAAGCTTTTCAAGCGTTCAACGCCTCGCAAACGGCAGGCTTGAACGCCCATAAGAAGGCATTGATCTGGCCTTGGGGTAGCTTTTGCCTTGGGGTGCCTGGAGGATGGTTAAGCATTTTAAGGGTATTAAGCTTTTTGAGGGTTTAACGCCTGGCAAACGGCAGGCTTGAACGCCCATAAGAAGGCATTGATCTGGCCTTGGGGTAGCTTTTGCCTGCGGGGTTGGGCGTTAACGCCTGGCAAACGGCAGGCTTGAACGCCCATAGGAAGCCATTGGTCTGGCCTTGGGGTGCCTGTTTCCTGCGGGGTTGGAGCGTGCCAAGAGGACAGGTTCCACACCTCCGGTGGTCCCAGGCGCCGCCCCTGCCTTGGCGAAGGCTGGGGTCGGCGGATATATATATATATTTACATTTATATGTATATTTATTTATTTTTATTTATTTATTTTTATATATACATATATATATATATATATATTTGTATGTATGTATGTATGTATGTATGTATGTATGTATGTATGCATGCATGCATGCATGCACGCATGCATGCATGCATATATACATGTATATCACATATGCGTGATATATATATATATATATATATATATATTCATATATATATATATATATTAATATCATATATATATTTATATTAATATCATATATATATGTATCTTTGCATATATATATATGCATGTATTTATATATATATATAGAGAGAGAGAGATGCATATGTGTATATATATATATGCATATATGTATATAATATATATATATATAATGTATGTATATACATAAGATGGTTGCTCTCCTAAAGCTCAGGTGAGGTAGCATCACTTCAGTTGCATTGCAATGACGTCGACTCACCAAGGCAACTTTAAGTCGAACTGCGGCCTTCCGAGCGGGACTCAGACCGCCCTTCGCGCGTCTGGAACTGGCATTTGAATGGGGAAGAGTACATATGATCAAAGATTGGATTTTGGGGTGTATAAACTCTACTCTCAGACATATCATGAAGCGCAGCCCTGCAGAGCTTGAATAGTCCTGGGGGTCACCGTCCCTTTTCTTTTACGTCAAATGGCTGTACGTTCACCAGCGCCCAAGTTGGTTCTTGCAAGATATTCTACGTGGTACGTGGTACTGGGATGGTGTTTTCATCAATGGTTGCAGCAACTGATTTTCTCAGCATCTCCCAGTAGGGCTTCCCCAGCTGCCAGGCCTGTTGAAATGGCTGCCAGAGTTTCTTGAGTCATCACCTTTTTGAATGATAACATTCCATAACTAGTTGGTGATTTCAATGTTTATGTGGTTTTAACATGTTTTAACGCTCAGCCCCCATGTGGCATGATGATTCCAAGTGACATTCATATTTTCAGGCTTTGGAACCACCAGATAAAGTGTGGGGACAATCCTCATTGAACTGGACATCTCTTGAAATCAGCTTTCGACCCTCGAATAACAAGAATTGTTTTGTTGTTTTGTTCGCCAAAAACGACATGTTTTCATGAAATGTTCATGAAATGTGGTGTTTTAGTCTCAGTTTCGGAATTCTGATGGCAATGGGCTGACATAGTAGCTCGACAAGAACTACCAGCAAAACACCCGCAAATATCCCGCAAACGCTAGCAAATACCCGCACCGCCCGCAAATCCAAAGTTTCTTGTAACTTTGGTTGTTTTGTCTCTGCCTGTTCCGATTCCAATCTCAAGCTAAGGCTAAGTGATGGAAATGCCAAGTTGTTGATAAAAACATATGAACGTGATGTTTTGTGACAAAACGTTTGATTGTATAGTAGTATAGCAAACGCAGAGAAAATTATTGGCAATGGAGATTCCGGGTTTAGAACCGAGTTTAGAACTTTAGAATGGCCATAAATTCATCTAAAATCCTCATGAATGTTAGGAAAACAATGTCATAAACCATATATTTTGATGGTTTTTGATTGGTTTTTCTCGCAGCCATTTATGATGGATCCGTCATTTTTTGTTGGTCCTTGGGGGATGGTTGATGTGGGATCGGGCCGCGTCGGGAGGCCTTTTATAAACAATCGATATCTCTGTGACCTCTTTGGCCTCGTGGACTTGGACACTGAGAATGCCCGCGGCTTAAATCAGCGCTGCTGTTGATGGCACTTGTCGATGATTTTCATGGTGTAAAACAGAGAAAAAGACAGAAAAAAGAGACATCAGACGTGTTTGATCTCGATCTAGATTAGATTGTACACTATTGTACATAGGTTACCTGCTATTCAAAACTAGAAACGATACCTTTCAAAAATGTCCCACGTGCAATTCAGCAGATTTGGAGCTGAGCAAGAATCGGCATTTTTGTGTGTCCTTTGATAGATTTGGGTGCATTTTTCATATTTTTCCCAGATGACAGATGAGGTTCTGGTTCAAGAACAGCTTCAGAATTACTTGAAGGCCAGGGGACAGGACCCGGACCTGCCGGCGTTTCACCGGAACGAATCCACAGGTTTTCCATGGACCAAAAGCTATGATGTTCATGACATATTTGGGTAGCCATCATAATTATGACTCATATGACCCATATGACTTGTTGATTCACATGTTTCCACACATCTATATCAAAGACCCTGATAGAGGTCTATTTGCAAGGAGGAAGTGAATGCGCTAAGTTCAACCCAGTCTTTGACATTTCGATGCGATTGACACTTCGGCAGTGAAACATGGAAATGTACACTTAACAACCGGAATGTCTATGGACTACGAGTTTCCACTGCCGACTTAGGCTACCAGAGAGGGTAGGCATTTGCAGTCCATTCGGGACCTGCAGGCGGTTGTCAAGTGGGACGTACTGTAAGAGGGGCCTTGCAGGTCCTATTTGAGCGAGGCGTCACTATGCCGGAAACTGAGATCTTCATTTTGGGCCCCAATGGGTTTCGGTTGGAAGGGGCTATTCAATATTAGTGGGACGGGATTTGTATTTTGGGGGATATCCCAAAGATTCAGGGATGAGTCTGGCTTAAGCTCAAACCGTTGCAGGGGCCATCTGAATGAAGCACTTTCATCAGCAAATCCGACGTGCAGAGCAGGATGGACTCTTCCGTGCTACAACTGCAGATGCTTTGTTCAATTTCCATTTGTCGAATTCAATCTCCAAATACGTCCAAGCCAGCCCAGACCGGACAGCCAGGTATGATTCTCTGGAGAGGGTGTCGCAGGTGGATTTCTTCATCAGCTATTCTTGGTCATGTCCATCTTGGATGAAACGACTGGCTTTGTGTCATTGCCTCAACCTGAACTTTGCCATTGGATCATGCGGCATTGCTTTTCTGCTGGCCATTGTGATCTTGGTACTACCTGCAAGTAGCATCCGATCCGTGCTGTGGCACAGCAAGATCCAGCACTGAGGTACTGTCTTTCATTGCTGTGGCCGTTCTTTGTGTCTCTTGGCACGTATCTCTTTGGACATCTGCTGTCCTTGCAGGTTTTGGATAGATCAGGTCTGTGTCCATCCATCCGATGCGGAGGTGAAGTCGCGGACGCTACAGGCTATTCCTGCCTTCGTAGCTCAGTCAAATCAGATGCTGGTGATTTGGGATTACACTTATTGGCGCGGCTACCTGAACGACCTCCGCGCGGTTGCTGCGGGTCTATGCATTGCTTTCAGGCCTAGGCAGTGCACAGAAGCGAACAGTTCAGTTGTGGTGTGTGCTTGTTGTGCTTGCACTGACTTGCCACAGAAGACTTGGGCTGTGTCTTCCAGAACCAGAAATGCTTTGCAACATATCCTTAATGGCAATGGAGCAGGCAGCCGAGCAACAGCTCGAAGACGGAAACAGAAACAAAGCAATGCGCAAGCTAATGGCTTCAATTTGCAACAGGTAGGAGAAATTCTCAAGCTGCTTACCCAGCTCTGCCAATTGTTGGGAATTGGGGGAGGCAGCGGAAAATTGTTTCAGCAACTTAGCACTCTGATGGGTCAAGAAATTGGAGCTGTTGACACCTCCAAAAACAAAGGAGGGAACAAGCCCAAAAAGAGAAAGAAAGAGCGCAAGACACAGGAAGGTGACAATGGTGGTGCGGGCCTTGGCCACAGGAATGCAGCGCTCAATTCTGCCCCAATCACCAATCCTACTAGCACTTCTGCGCAGCTTCCCAATCGCAAACAGGATGCCAACAAGAAACAGCCCACACAAGCATCCAAGTCTTTTGTGGAAGTAGTTCGAACGAACACACCGTTCAAACCAGTTTGGTGTTTGAGACAGTCGGACTGGACCGGCCAAGTTTTGACTTTTGATTCTTTTTGCAGTGCGTTGGATCAGCCTGGCAATGTGTCAGCAACAGTGCAGTGTGAATCGGAAGAGCAACTGAGTGAGCTCAAAGTTTTGACAGAAGGTGATGCAACAGATCAGACAAGAGAATTGCATGTCTCTGCAGTTTTGTTAGCTCCAAAAGAAGCGAAGCAGATCGACGGCAGACAGTTGAGGCTCATACCTGGCAAAATAGCTGGGAAAGTTCAGCCAAGGCAGGCTTACCTGATAGCCTTGAAAGGAAACGGACCAACACTCAAAAGAGCAGCCGTTGTTTCTGCTGCTCCTGCAGCTCAGACTGAGACGGTGGTTGTGAGGTTGAGCGTTGAAGCAAAGTATTTGTTGAGCAAAGAGTGGCAGAGCATCCAAGCCAAACCAAAGGCTAGCGCTCAGTCATGGTTGCGAAGGCATGTGCCCGCCCACATTGGTGCCAAAGTTTTTGACATGTGGGCTTTCCAAGAGGAGTGCACGAAGGGTGGTGGCAAGCCGGTCATTACTGGGTTGCTGAGGATTGAGAAAGATGCAGCGAAAGGCTTGCTTTCTTGTTCTGGGAAAAGTCTGTGGTTCGTCGAACCTCTCCAATGGAACAACAGTGTGGTGGAGTCATGTGATGTTGAATGGATCAAGAAAGGTCCTGACCTTGATGGCCCCAGCTATCTTCAAAAGGTCCGAAGTTTGGCAGGTGATCTTGGCATTGCAAGAGGGTGGGGCGGCTTAGGCGTCCGAAAGCCCAGAGCATCTGACCCGATTCCAAAGCCAAGAGCATGGCGCATTAGTGGTGTGCCCCGAGAATGGTCAGCCAGCACGGTCACTGAAGCGATCACACGTGCTGGCTTGCAAGATCCAAAGATTTTGTCTCGCAAAACTTTGGGCAAGCAAGTTGAATGGTGGGCACATGCGAATGCTCAAAGAGATCTTGATTTCCTTGAGATCCAGGCCGGCGAACACACCATTGTTGTCGTTGAAGCGCCCAGGCAGAGACCTCAGCGGCCCATTACAAAGAAGTTGTCCAGTTACGGAAAGGTCAATTTCCATTCCAACACTGGGCCTGCAACTGTGCAATCCTCACAGCCACCGCTAAAGTCTTTCTACATTGGCACGCCGCTCAAGGAAAAGAACGCTGCAGCTGCGCCTGCTACAGGCGCCACGCAGCCTGGTGATGTTCAAGCTGATGAAGCTATGAAAGCTGCTTCGGCTGCTGCAGGTGACAAACGCGAACCTTCTTCGCCCGCCAAGCTGCCGGCGGCAAAGCGAGTTGCAGTGGATGTCAAGCCACCTCATGGCTTGATTGCACGAACCATAGCTGCTGATGGCAATTGTTTGTTTGAGTCCATATCACAGGGAATTGGAGGCAAAACTGCAAGATCCGTGAGAGCTGCAGTTGTGAACCATTTAAAGAAGCATGAAGGTCGGTATAAACCTTGGTGGGACGAAAGGGAGCCCACGGAACAGGAAGAGAAGTGCGAGTCATGGGAAAAGTACATGGAGATGCTTGCAAAGGTTGGGGCTTGGGGCAGCAGCTTGGAATGTGCTGCAGCTGCCGTGCACTACGACAGACCCATATTAGTTTTTCAGCCTACGGGCGTGCCTGAGGTTTACAACAGCCAAGGGAAAGCAGGTGGCGCCATTGCTCTGTGGTATCGCCGAAAGCATTATGAATTGTTGGATGGCGCATTGCCGCCAGGCATTTTGGAGCAAGCCGCCACTGGCCCTATGCAAGGCAACAGAGGGGGCGGGTCGGAAACTGGCACTCACTCGGCTGGCGCTACTCGTTTGTCAGCGCTGCCATCTGTGGCGGGCGCCAAGAAGCGTTCCAAGCGCGACGCCTCCTTGCCTGGTTCTACTTGCTCAGAGCGGCGCAGGAATCCCTCCCCTGCGACTGCTACTTCAGGTCGGGAGCGGCGTGCTGTGAGCAGCGCTGGTGTCAGCGAAAAGGACGAGGCTGGCAGCACTTCGTCCAAACGCCCAAAAAGGGAGGAATGGAATTGTCCTTTGTGCGATTATTCCACAGGGGTACACAGGCTGTGGCCGCAGAAAAAGCAGGCCCACATCAATGCTTGGCATCCTGATGAGAAGGAGAGGTTGAAGCTCACTCCCGCTATGGGTCAGCTTTGTCACGCCGCCCCTGGTATGAGTTTCAAGTGGAAGTGTCACTTGTGCAACATGGTCATTCCTGAAGATGCCGATCTCAGCAGAGACCAGGTGCTTCGCATGAAACTGAGGCATAGAGAAGAACACCATCCGAAAGCGAATGTGCAGCGTTTCAAAAGCGATGGAAGTTACAGGGCGGCAAATGCAGCCAAAGCTACGATTGAAGTGCGCGCAGCTGGCATGGCAAAACGCCTGTTGGGCCTCAAAAAAGGTGATGCCGGTTCCCACGAACCAGTGTTGGTTACCCTCCCTATGACTGGCAAGGCCAAACAGAAAAGAGGAGGTATGGCAAAGGTTATTTGTCGCAAATGTGGCAAGATGGCGAATCAAGCAAAGGAGCTTGCTACGCTGTCCTGTGAAAAGTATGTGGCCGGCAATGGCCCCAAGAGGAAGAAGATGCTGGCAAGGCTCCGCGCTTGTCTCAACAAAGCGTCCATCAGTGATGCTCTCAAGGATGGTGCCCGTACAGTTTTGAACATTATTGACTCAGGCAAGGGAAGCTCCAAAGACACTGCGCCCAAACACCATATTGAGGCACTTGTCTGGCCGGTAGATTTCACGGTCCGTTTTGCTTGCACGAGATGCAAGCGGTGCATGAAGGACGAGAAACATTTCCGTGGAATGTCTTGCGCCAACAGCACCGTTTGGAACCAAAAGAGAAAAGGCAACAAAGACGCCTTGCTGGAGCTCGCCAACAAAGAACCTGGGGCGAGGCAGAGAGCGGCGCTCCGTGCTTTGGAGATTTTGGGGTTTCAGCAAGAGGAAGGTGATTCTACGGACCAATGACGGGTACGTCTAGCACTTTAAGGTTGGGAACTATGAATGTCCGGTCATTGAGTGGCCGGTTGGGTGGCGTTTTTGAGTTAGCAAAGACTGAGCAGATCGATGTTCTTTGTTTGCAAGAAACTAGAGTCAATGTCGACAGTTGGAGCGCTGTCAAGTCAGCTGCAAACCAGCGAAAGTGGCAAGTTTTTCCTGGCGGCCAAGGGGTAGATGCCAAGAATGTGGTGATTGGCGGGACGTTAGTTTTGTCAAAGTGGCCTGCTGAAGCGTTGGCCATTCCAAGTCAGTTTGCACCGGCTGACCGTGCCATGGCGCTGAAGCTTTTTCGACCTCACCAGCGACCGCTTCTTCTGATCAATGTGTACCTACATGCCAACGATCAAACAGCTGCTGGCCACGCCTTGGCTGCCATTTTTGAATACGTTGCTATGCTGGGCGAAGAAGCAATCATTGTGGGCGATTTCAACAGGGAAAGGCATGTTTGGCCGGCCTCCACCGCGCTGGCGTCGGGGCAATGGTATTCTTGCGATGAACAAGTCTGCGGAGACCAGATTGGCCCTGGCACCCATCGCAACTCAGATGGTGAATACACAGGGGTGGTCATTGACTACGCGCTTTCAACTCCCAGAGTTGTTGTTTCCGGAAGAATGCAGTCTTTAGGTGTTGCTGACCATGATGCAGTCATTTACGATATACATGTGCATGGTAGCTTACCCACGCCTTGGAGATTGCCGGCAAGCGCACCACTCTTGCTTTGCAATGTGGAGGTTGAGAACTGGAATGTTGCTTGGGCAGAATCACAGCAAGATTTCACCGATGCTCTGGCCGTCGGAAATGTGGATCAAGCTTGGGTGGTCCTGAGCAACTGTGCTGAATCTTTGCTGCTTGCACAAGGCAAGCCCAGCAGGGCATCAAGGGACGGCCCGCACAAAATGGCGAGCCCCCCATCAACCAAAGCTCCTACGTTGCAGACTTTGGAGGAGCGAAAGCTGAGAAGATTTGCACGGCGGGTGGTCGAATATCAAAAGGCTCCTTCGCCGCAATTGCAAACCAAGCTGTTGCGCGATGCTCCGCTTTTGCACTCGTCTCTTACTGCGTTTTCTTTATCTGATGGTGGTTTGGCTCCCGCCGCTTTGCTTCTTGCAGATGAGGTGGCCAAAAAGGCGTCTCAGCGACGCCTTGCTGCTTGGAAAGAGGACATTCAAGAAAATGTTGCGAAACTGGGGAAGTGGGTTCAGCAAAAACCACCTGATCCACCTACAGCAACACAGGTCGATGGTCCTATTTTGCCTGAAGATAAGGCAAGACAGGAGGCAGCTGCGTGGCACACGCATTGGAATCCGGACCACCTCCCACATTTAGACCAGGTTTCAAATTTGTGTTTGCAGCTCAACAATCAGGTCGACCCAGTCACGCCTGAAAGCATTCAAGTGGTTGGGGCTGATTTGGCGCGTTCTGCGTTGAAAGCTAAACAAAAAGCGGCTGGTATGGATGCTTGGACTGCGGCTCATTTGTGCAAGTTGCCGGAGTCCTTTTGGAATCACGTTGCAGTCTTGTGGTCGGCGTGCATGCAGTGTGCGAAAGTTCCTACAATGTGGAAAGATATTCGCATAGCCTTGATTCCAAAGGCGGCCGGGGGCCTGCGCCCACTTGCCATCACGACGGTCCTGTGGCGCATCTGCATGAGTGCAACTTTGCAAAAGCTCCGACCATGGATACAAGAATGGGCCTTGCCTCAGCTTTGTGGCGGCCGTCCAGGAAGAGGCATTATGGATGTTCATGAAGTGCTCTACGAAGACATTCGTGCTGCCAAACGTTCAAGAGTTGATTTTGTTGGCTGCAAGGCCGATATCCGTAGGTGTTTCGATTCAGTTTGTCCAAAGACTGCACTTGCTATTTGGCGCTGGTTGGGTGCTCCGGCCAGTTTGTGTGACATGGTGGAAAATTTTTACACTGACCAACGCAGGTGGTTTGCCTGGCAAGGCATTTTCCATTCAGAGCCCATTTGTGCTCGGCGGGGGCTGCTGCAGGGCTGCCCGGCAAGCCCAGCCTTACTCAATGCGGTGATGGTAGTCTGGGTGCGCTTCGTTCTTTTGCAAGAGCCTCGTGTTTCTCTTGCAGTTTATTTGGATGACCGCACAATGTGGAAGAAAGGTGTCAACGGCATTCACGTGGTCACCAACGCCATGCAGGCAGGTGCGCAGGTTGATGCAATTCTGGGCATGGAACTCCATCCTGACAAGTTAAATAGTTTCACAACCAAGCAACATTTGACGCCTCAGCTGTCACAGATACAGGACGTGTTGGGGGCTCCTTGCAGCAAGTTCACGCTTCTGGGTATTCAGTACAATTTGGAGCGTGCAGGTGCTTGTGTTAATGCAGAGAAGCTTTCCTTTGACATTCAGGAGAGGTGTCGCAAAATCAGGTTGGCAGCGAAACGTTTGGGCACCCGCAAGACCTTGCTGGGACAGTTGGTGATCTCTTTGTTTGCATGGACAGGAGCTTTTCACCACTATGATGTTGATACCATCAAGAGTTGGACCTCCAGTATTGAAGCGGCGGTCTGGGGGCGCAAGCCTGCCCCAGGTCGCAGTAGATTGCTGTTCTGGAACTCTTTGGGCACACCGCGTTTGCATCCTGCTTTTGCGCTTCACTTTGCTGCAGCCCGGGCTGAATGGCAGCGCCAGTGCCGCTTGGCCATAGGTGTGCCCGCCGCTGTTTCGCCAGGCCCAAGGTGGAATACTGTTTGCAAAGACTGGAATTGGCGTGTTGAGGGTGGTTTGTGGATCACTCCCGTGGGGACTTTGAAACCAGGGTGGATGTCTTCTTCAAGCTTATACAAAGCTGCTGCTGCAGCATGGCTGGCTTTTATGTGGACGAAGGACACCAAAACGGAGGGTCCTTTACCTGAAGGTAAGTTGCCTGTGTTCCAATTCCAGGCCAATGTGGCGCATGATTTGAACTATTGTGGTCGCAGAGTCTTGACAGGTGCAGCAGTGGATGGGAGAGTTACTCAACGTTTGGAAGTCGACTTGCAGTGTGATTGTGGTTTGAGCTCTCCTGATCGTGAGCATTTCACTTTCTACTGCGAGGCAAATCCTTGGCATGGTGATCTCAAAACTCCAACTGAAAGGCGGTTGCTTGTTCCTCTTGTGGATGCTCCAGCTGTTCTTCCATTTGAAGATATGACGGCCGACCCCATTCTGGTGGCTTTTCTACAACAGTTTGACCCACATCAAACGCCGACTTTGGCTTGGATGGAAGTTGCGCAATCGCTCCAGGGTGCGAACTTTGGCAGCGTGCCAGCTGGGCTGTGGCGGCACATCTCGGGCCCACGGTCAATGGGTTGGTGCATGGTTTCGAGCAAACTCCTGCTGCGGGCGAGAGAGGTGCACTTCTTCAAGCCTGCTTGGCTTCCCATGAAGCGAACAGAGCGGTGCGCTTGCTGATTGACAACCAAGCTCTTGTGCAACGTCTTCATCGTGGCATGCGGCTTGGTCAGTGGGGTGGAGATCTTTTTCCATACTGGCATTATATCAGGATGCTTTTGGTTGATGGCTCTTCTTGTGCTTGGATTCCCTCGCATAATAAAGTTCCTCGATGGCGCCCACCCGAAGGGTGGCTTGATGTTTTGCGTTGCCGCATGCTCAATGCCAAAGCGGATGCTAGCGCGGCTGATCTTACAGGTCAATTTCGGCAGGTGATTGCTACTTGTTTGTCACAACACAGAGAGGCAGTTGTTTGGGCTGGAGAAGCTTGGAAGGCGCAACTAAAGGGTTCTCTTCCCTACTGGCAAGTTTTGCTTGAACACGAACCACGTCAAAACAGGTCGTTTGAATGAGCGTTTGCTGCTTCTTCAGCTGCATGGGTGGTACTTTTCTTGGCTTGAACTTGCCCTCCGGTTGTTCAGTGCAAAGAGCTCCGGCTCAGCGTTGGCAATTTCGGCGTCTTAACTACTTCACTTCGGTGAGGAGCAGGTTGACGTCCTCCTCCAATCCAATCCAATTACACTTATTGGCAGAGACTCTGGTGCAGCTATGAAGTCGCTATCGCTGTGAGAACTTCTTCCGCCCCAGAGGCCATATGTTTTGTACCAGTCTGGATGCCTTTGTGGGTCTTGTCGAGCTTCACTTTGTTGACTTTGGTATGCTTTTCGACTGTTGGGGAAGTCTGGTCTTACCAACTGGATTTGGATTCAAGGCTTTCACGCATAGTCTCTTACATGATGAATGAAGTGCCCGCGAATGTGGTTTGCGCAGGATGCTGTGCTTTCCCTTGTTTCTGGCTGTGCACGCAGAAACTGCAGAAACACGAGGAGATGCTAAATCAGATGAAGCACTTCGATGTTCGAAGTGCTGAGTGCACAGTGGAAAGTGACCGCATAGTCATCCAGGAACAAATTGTTAACCTTTTTGATGAAGCTTTGGAGCCTCCGGTTCAAGTCCCTTTCGGAACTGTTGCAGATGCTCCGGATGCTCCTTTGATGTCCCCAGACGTGCTTCAGGACATCCGTGACATCACTAGCTACCCGAGCCGTGATGAAATCCTAGACCAGTTCAACGCATATGTGAGGGGCCCATTGCATGGAAGCATTGAAGCATCCGTGGGGAAAGAAGAGTATGTCCCTCTCAATTCTTGCTTCGCGGCTCAGTTGCCAGCGATTTTGTGTGGCTTCATGATTGCGCTTGGCTGTGATGGCCAGGCGGATTGTGGGATGTCAGCCTCCAATCTGGGCTTTGCTTCGGTGACCGAGTACATGATTGTCAATATGTTTGCTTGTGGAATACAAATACCCTTGACATATCCTCACATTTCCTCTGGTGCTGCGAACCAGCCACCTAGTAACCCGAGCCATGTCCAGTGGAATTTGGCAGACCCTCGTGGGTGCATCTCTCACAGGATTGGTGCTAGCTGCCTGTTTGTGTGGCATAAGTCTTCACTTCGTGCTGTTAATCGTGGTCGTCAACAAATATTCGACAATATGTTTGGGAGCTTATGTGGCCTGCTTTGCTATTGTGCTCTGGGCCCTTTGGTTTTGCTTCTTCAGGACCTCAGCCCGACACTCCTCACGATGTTTTGCTGTTTCTGCTTCAACGCCTTGACGTCCAAGATGCAAGGGAAAAAGGAAATGTTTTTGTTTTTGCAGCATGACTTCTGTGGATTTACATGAAACTTGTGTGGTCCGGCGACAGTTCTATTTTTGCATGACGACGCACAACGGAAGGCAATTTGTTGACAACCACTGCTCCGGGGGGTTTGAACATGTAGATATGTCTAGATTTTAAAAGGAGAAGATCATCCCAAGCATTTAAAATGCTGGTAGATACCATGGAGGCGTGGCCTGCATGTGGGTCACTTGTGGTTTGGAATCCAGGTGAATTGATTTGGGCCAATGGGCCAATGGGTCAATGGGTCAATTCACCTGGTACATTAGCTACCCTCAAATCCCTAAAATAGTTGGTTTATGGATGTCCAAAATATGGTACTGTAATAGTTGTTGACCCATGCCCATTTGGATATCTTTTAAGATGGTACCGTCGTGATGTGCCTAGGTTGCGCATTGACGCTGCGATGCACGTGGGGTGCTCATTGGCGCGAAAAACCATGCAGAGAAACCACAAACTGCATGTCTTGAAAATTCAGACGTCCTTCTCACGTTCTATCTAATGTCAACACTGGATTAACAACCCCTAGGCTGTTTAATTGGGAGGGTACCATTAAAGTATCAGATTATCACAATTTGGGGTGATCTTGGACTCTTCCCAGGCCCGAACGTTCTGTGCATGGAATGTTGGCATGGCATGCGACCTGAAATCAACTGTGAGCACATGCTAAGTTGCATCTGCAAACCCTAGATTTGAAAAAAAAATATTAAATGGATGGTTATTTGGGGGGATGTTTATGTTTTGTTGGGGGGATGTTTGTTTGTTTTCCAGTCGGGTTTCTTGGTTTTTGTGCGTGTGAACCATCTGAAGAGATGTAAAACTTCTTACCTGATGGAGTTTCGGTTTTCAATTCCAATTTTCTGTCTTTATCATTATTCAAGTGCAGGGGCTGGATGCATGGTTTGGCAGTCATCCACCAACGAAGACATTGCCTTTCCATGGTGATATGACGAAGGGACGCCTTTGTCACGTGCCTGCCATTTCAACTCCATTTTGCAGCACTTCAATTTGTCGAACATGGGGACCGGCTAAGCCAAGAACCGGCAAGTCGTTTTCACCCTTTTTATTGCAACCAATTCAGTTCAATTACGGGTGGTACGAGTTGGCACAACTCTCTGGCTATGGCGATGGTAGCTTCTCAATGCTTTTCAGGTCCCTTCACCGACCCATTCCTGTCAGGCGTAATGGAAGTGTTTTTTTGCACGTAAGATGCTTTCCACCACAAAATTCGCAATGACAGTTCTGAGCAAGTGTGTGTTTATTTCCCGTTGTGGTTCTTGCGACTGTTGCTTTCTCAGTTTCTTAGCTTATTGTTTTTTGTGTTTCTGTTATTTTCTGGTTTCTTGTTTTTTTGCCTTTTGTGGTTTCTTGGCAGTATGCTGCAACTATTGTACAGACAACAAACAAAACATCAATTGGAAATAATAAAAGGACAATTATTTTTTAATAAGAAAAGAACATTACAATAATATAATTTATGAGAGCACTTTGATAACATCGAATGAAAGGATTTACACCCAACACGGTCGTGCCTCAACCTACATTCTACATGTTCACAAGGTGCACGTTGTGCATTATATACACCCTGAGTACCTTATGCAACCTACAGCATTACATGTGAGAGTAGGTGTTGTCGTTCTGCTTTGGGGGGAGCTGCGCCCTCAATCCCAATCCCCCTCCTCCCCCCTCTTTGTTTGAGTCCGAGCTTGCACGTTTGTAAATAAACTACTCTACACATATAGGTACATAATTTACATAATCATATACATACATATGTACAGTTATTTAGGTGCACACAGTGTTTCCCTAAACCGTAAACCAACCCCAAAAAGACCCTTAACCAACCCTAGATAAACTCTAAATTCCTAAACCAACCTTCAATACACCGTAAGCAAACCCCCAAACCAACCTTGGAATAAAGTCTAGACCAACCTACAATTAGCCTGAAACCAACCCCAAATAAATTCTAAACCCACCCCCCCAAAAAAAACAGAACCAACCCCAAACCAGCACCAAACCAACCAAAAAAAAATCCAAAAAGTTGCCAACATGCTGCTGTTTTTGTGTTATTAACAAGGTAGAAAACCGCCAAATAACAATGAGAACCGTTTTTTAAACATGTAACAAATACCATGCAAATTGCAGATTGTTGCGCCCAAATGCAACAAATACCCATGCGAACATGAGATTTCAGTTTACGGTAAACGTGATGCAAATGCTATTGTGCAAATGCCGGCTCCAAGATGCTGCGAATTTTCCGCCAACAAGAGATTCAAAGTCCAAGACATTGTAAATACCCTCCAAATTAGCGATTTTAGGTTCAAAATGCTGCAAATAGCAAATGACAGATTTTAGCTCCAAAATGGAGCAAATGAGATATTTGAGCTCCAAAATGCAGCAAACAAGGAAATGTGCCCCAGACAGGACAGAAAAACAAAAGAAACAAAAAGATTTGCAATTGATCCATATGAGATGAGTGATTCCCCAAAATCATTCAGTGTTGTTTTGCGATTTTTAGTGCCTATCCACAGTTGGATCATCCATATATCTCCACAAGCAGCCTGTTCACCAGCCAGGTCAGAGTACTGTTGAATTTCCATGGATCTTTCAGGTCTATCCAGAGAGTTTGATTGCCATTGTGTCTGGTGTGCCCTTCGACTATATTGCAAGGGAGCCCGGGCCCGTTGTTGGCCAGGGGGACATTGTGGATTTCAACGCCGAAATCAGGGTTCAACATGGTTGAACCCCTTGAAGGTTTGGTGATTCAACAGCCTGGTTAAAAATCCAACAAGTACTGGGATTTGACCACTGAAACTGGGTCTGTTCACCAGCCAAAAAGATTGCTATGTCATTCCCCCTAATGAGCCCTATTACCATGGTAAACCCAATTATACGATTGTCTGAAATTCGGCTTCAACCACCAAATGGCCATTCAGTAATAGGGAAAATGATGATAAACCAGATCATTTGGGAGTTCTCCTTAATTTTCAGGTATCAAACCAATATGTTCAACCTTTTTCAACCATCCCCAAGCTATATAAACCCGGACATGCCGGATGTTTCTGAAGGCTCAAACTCTGGACCCTGCGGGGGGTAGCTAGCTCCGGTTGAGGTGCAGGAGTACTACCCCGAAGCATCGTTGGAAGTCTCAGGGGAGGAATGTCGCTGCCAGCAGCGGAAATGGTTTGTATCTAAGCCAAGCATGGCCAACACAAAAGCTCAAAACACCAAAACATAGAGATACTATGAGATAATGATACAATATATATATATATTGGGTTCATGTCGTTTCTTGTCTCGTCTCCCCTGAAGTTGTCTCAGGTCGGTGTGCCGTGGGGAAGTGTGTGTAAAAGATATATATGACATCATTTCCATTGGATCATTGCTTATTGTAAGACCACAAAACGCATAGGCAAGCTGAATTTCACCAACATGAACCTTCCATTTGTAGTCATTAACCTTCTTATGGTTTGTTTGTCCATTGCAGGGCACACAACGCAGGGGCACACTGGTTGTCATAAACATGTTTGTTTATTACTTGGTTTGATACTTGTGGCATCCAAACGCAGTGGCATGCTCGGTCAAAGAGAATATGTGGCACTGGGTGTTTCAATGATTTTGTGCAGCACAACAGATCTTGTGCCAACATCGGTGTGCCTGCCATTTGGTGCTAGTGGGTTCAAGTTTGGGAGCTGGGTCGATGTTGTAACAAGTGCCGATGACAAGATCTTGTGCCAAATCGTGGTGTGCCTATGGGGAAAGGCCCACATGGGGAGCGCCTATGATTTTAACTTGTTGATGTATTTTTTGGCACTTCGCGTAGGCACACGATGCTTACCTGTCATATCTTTTGTGGGTTTACCCACTATACTCCCAAAGATGAAAGTCGTGGCAATTGTATACTTTTCCTGGATTTAGGTTGGCAGACAATTTTTAGGAAGTCGTTGCGGTCGTGGCGTTTAGGTGGTGATTTGTGAGTTTTGAAATTGGTAACACGTTTAATTCGTAAAAAATGTGTTTAAGTTGTGTTTTGCTTCAGTTTGGGGCTCAAATATAGACAATCAAACATAGGTCATGCTGACCTGCTGCCCCATGCCTGGTGGTTCCTCTGCCCATGGCTTTGCTTCCCCAGACAGTTTTAGCCTTTAGATATCTTTGGCTATCACGGTTCCTACGTCTCAAACAGTCTGTGCCCGCTCAAATTTGTCACCGCCGCCTTGTTTGCCAAGCTTGCGTCCCTTTGTCTCCCCTCTGTCTCCCTTACTCGCCCTTTGTCTCCTCTTCTGTCTCTTAGCTCTTGCCTGCAGCTGCTGCTTGGCTTGGTTTCCTCTTCTGCTCCACCGCTGAAAGCTCTTGAGTTTTACTCTTCTGAAAAGACTGCAAAAGCGTGTGGCTACCAAAGAGTCTGTCAGGAGACTTAGGGGGTCAGTCTCCCAAAATTTGATTTCGGACCTCGTTAGCACCTCGTTCGGACCTCGGTAAAAATTGCAGCCAATCAAAACCCAACCCGGAGAGGTTTTGGAAAGGCTTTGCAATGGTCTGCTGCTTGGTCTGCTGCTGCTGCTGCTGTTGTTGCTTGTGCTGCTGCTTCTGAATTAATTAGTCCAGTTTGACCGTCGGTGTGTCAATAGGATTTCCACCTGGCGGAAGATTATTGATGTCTGGCGTAAGCGGTGTGCCATGCGGCTGGCGCAAGTTCTAATAAATGGCGTAGAATCACGCAGGGGCTCGGGTCAGGGATGCTTTGCACGACTTATTTGGCATTAGGTGTGCAATTGGGAAACAGATAATTAAACTACCGAAATCAAACGAATCCATGTCCAGAGACATGACAAGGAAACGGGGCGTGCGCTGCAGAATTGGTTACTTTTCTCATTTGGATAGAAGGCAGCTGTTTTGCTGTCAATGCGTGTGTGCCAATGGCGGCTGCTTACTTTCGACATGGTTTTATTACCAACGGAGATGGTATTAAATATGTGGTTCGCAATGGCACGGACACATTTTAAATATTTTGTTTGCCAAACCAACGATTGTGTGGTACCAGTGTGCCAATAGGATTTGGTCCCTGGGGTAACTTCTGGGTGCCTGGGGTAAGAAACAACGTCCGCCCAGTTCGTATATATATATATATATCTAATGATATATTTAGTGATACACAAACAATCACAAAGATAGATGCTCCATGATGCTCCCCTGGAGTGACGATGGAAACGATGTGTTTCAAGGTTTGCAAAGAGTCTTCCAAAAGCCGGCATGGTTGGGCGGCCTCCTCAGTGGGGCTTTCCGGCTTTCGGAAAATATGGGGGATCCCCGGCTTATCGCTGGATTGGGCTGCATGGAAAATCCGAAAATAAAATGGATGATAACTAGGGGTACCATGGGGTACCCATATGTTAGGAAACTTCCAGATGTTGATGCAATATGGTGCAATGCTAACATACACAGACTACGCTACATAGACCTTAGAGAATGACAGAGACAGAAACCTGCTGTTTTTCTACACGTGTGCTGAATTTATCTCTGCTGACGTTGCTGGCGCCCGCGCAATGCTACGAACTTAGGCACTTCACGAACTTTCAATTTGGAGATTCCGTTGGGCAGGTCGGGGTTGAATGGAACCGAAGAACGGGTCGGACCCACATATTTTGGTCACTTGAAGTGCTTCGTATGATTTGTAATTATTGGTGACCACGGGGAGGCGTAGCTTTTGGGGGTAACTATTGTAATTGTTTCATATTTGTTTCGGATCTCGGGATACCCAACGACTCGACCAATACTTACCTGTTGCTTTGGAATCGCGGGATCCTGGAATTCCAAACCACCCAAATCACCTGGTCCTTGGTCACCAACGGTTGAACGAGCATTGAACGAGCTGCCCCGTTCACTCCGAACAGGTCCTGTTTGACGATTGGCTCGACAGCGGAGAGTGGCAAGATTCGCCCGCGCCCGAACGGGTCATGTTTCTGGGTCCGTTGGAAAATCATGGTAATTTACCATGATTTACCCCTCGCCTATGATTTTATGGTAATTTTCCATGGGAATATGAGTTCCTCAACCATGAGATGTGTTTTTTTGTTCACCCCAAACCCAATCTGGGCAAATTGTATCGACCTCACGACGAGCACAAACTAGTTTGATGATGCTCAGAAAAGAGAACCACCGCAGCATATGCTCCTTTCTGGATGGGGAATGAATTTGATATGTTATCAGTTATCATATGTTAATAGATACGAATACACTTTGGTGCATGGATACAAACAGGTGATGATTCTTGATGTTCCAACAAAATCAACAGATTTCAGTTGTACCATTGGGAAACCCAGTTGCTCTCCATGCAGTGTCATTCTCGGAGATCCTGAGGACAAAACGCTTCGGCGATTTGCTTCACATTGGATTTCCATCGCCCGATTGCGTGCTCTTGGCAAATTTCAAAAGGGCAGAAATGGACAGAAGTCCTTCAACTCCACAAAAGATAGGGGGCTGAAGCAGTTTGAGAGGTGTCAATATGATTCAATATGTATGATGATGGGGCCCTACCATAAATGAATGGGTCATTGCTCCCAATGAACTTCAATCGGCGACCACCAGTGCGAAGCGGTAGGTAGTTTGACTCCGAAGCCACCGGTTTGGGAGTAGCCCACTTTTACATACCATTTACCCATATTTACCCCACTGTTTGACCCATTTAGGCCTTCTGACATTGGCTGTAGATGATCTTCTCAACCATGAGATGTTGGCTTTAAATCCCAGGAGTACAGCCTTTGCCAAATGATTTATCCACCAGTACGACACCTAGACCATGGGGGGTTTCGATGGGGGATGACGAATTAGCAATAGAATTGGATGAATTGGCGATCAGTGTTGCAACTGGTGGGTGGTTTCAGATATGTTAAGATCTGTTATGATATGTTGTGTTTTTTATCGCTAAAATGGCACGGTGTTCCAATTGTAAACATATGTAAACATATCGGATGGGTATTGAAACGACTGTACTGATGGCTTTGATTGTGGTGATGTTGCCGCTGACTGGTATAGTCCTGGCTCGTGTCTGGGATTGGGAAATATTTCCGGGTTGAGATCCCCAAAGCAATGTTCAGAGCATTTGTCCAGAGAAAATGTACAGTAAAATTACGCGCAAACACCCCGATTCGCCCACACCCCTTCTATGCTGTACACTTGGGGATATCAAACGTTAGACTTTACATTTACATTCAATTGGGAAGATCAACAAGGGTATTTAGGGAATATAAATTTCCCACCCCCGTTAAACTCCTACATTCATTGAAGATCTTCAATAAGGGTTTAATTCTCCCACCCCCGTTCAACTTCTACATTCATTGAAGATCTTCAATAAGGGTTTAATTCTCCCACCCCCGTTAAACTTCTACATTCATTGAAGATCTTCAATAAGGGTTTAATTCTCCCACCCCCGTTAAACTTCTACATTCATTGAAGATCTTCAATAAGGGTTTAATTCTCCCACCCCCGTTAAACTTCTACATTCATTGAAGATCTTCAATAAGGGTTTAATTCTCCCACCCCCGTTAAACTTCTACATTCATTGAAGATCTTCAATAAGGGTTTAATTCTCCCACCCCCGTTAAACTTCTACATTCATTGAAGATCTTCAATAATGGTTTAATTTTCCCACCCCCGTTAAACTTCTACATTCATTGAAGATCTTCAAGAAGGGTTTGATATGATGATGATGATTATTATTATTATTATGATGATGATGATGATGATGCGTAAGAGACTCGCACAGGTCCCTATGCTGTGCGTGCCGATATACAACATGAAATTAGCAATGATGCAAAAAACTTCCATTTTTACCACGTTTTCAGCAAATACGAAGATGGCCGCCGACAAGCGCGGGCAAATCGAGGTGTTTGCCCGTAAAATTACCAAAACCTTGGCGAACGTTTTCTGTTTTAAGTTCTAAGCTTTGCGTGATGTTCGTAACAGTGTTCGACCAGAGCTGTCGATGTTGTTCGACCAGTTTGTGACTTGGAAATCTTGGAATATGCTCGGATATGGTAAAGATTCAGACAGCGAGCGAAGATTCCACAGTCTGCCTCCTGGTAAATACGATGAAGAAGCACTGGACCCATTCTTCAATGACTAGGATAAAGCTCCGACATGACAAAACGGACACTAAGTGTCAATCAGTATGAAGTTCTGCCAAAGTATCGACATTGGGATCCCCATCCACGCACAGGTGAAAAAACAATGGTCATGTAGGTGTGGTAACATAGCAAAAACATGCAAAAACATTCATAGTGATCTAGCATTTCGATGGTTTTATTGATGAAATATCGAGGATCAGGAAGGTTTATCCATCTTATGGAGTCTACGTGCCTCAAAACTGTCAATGTGATAGGGAAAAATTGATGATCGGCCATTCGCATTTCTGCTACCATATTTTTTGACACACACAACCATGGCAGCTATGGGCCCCAAAGTCTGATTTTGGGGTCCATTCCTGCGACGGGGGACCCCATCCTCAGGAACTGGCACTCCTGTTTGTTGGGGCGCTGAGGGATTCCGCATTTGGATGGTGCCACGATGCTGTGATGAAGTGAGTGTTAGACCCGAAAACATGAGGATTGACTTGCAAAAAATATGTTGTGAAAAGAAAAGTGCCGTTGCAACCAAGGAAATAATCAATTCACTTCAGGTGTGAAAATACTCTAGTCATCTCTAGTCCAACACCGTAGTTTGACAATCCAGTGGCCCCTTTCATTCCAGTGGCCTGAATGGTCATACCCGTTGAGCATTGGACATTATACTGAGCTGCATATGGACACCCCAGCGTGGACAACCCCAGGATGGGGATGTTCCTCACCAGGGTTTTCGTCAACTAGCGACCACCTCTGGGATGCACATCCACTCATGATAATAGGAACAAAAGGAGAATGATAAGTTTGGTCATTTGCTGCGGTCCTGGTTGTAATCATAAGTGTCGTTCGTTGTTTCACAGATGGCTCTTAGGGGCCCCGATTTTGCCAAGCACGTCGTCGGTCGCAGCCATCTTTGCTGGTGGCTAAGTTGGACAATCATGATCAACAACGGGAGCGCTGGAAGACAGAGAAGGGTGGACCGCCAGATTCTCCCATGTGCCGTGGGAATCTCAGGTTACACTTTTTCCAGTTCTTCGTGGTTTGAAATTGATCCAACGTGGCCATCCATATCCCAGGAATAGCTCTGGATGTCTGCGATGGACTTTCTTTGACACCCATTCTGAAGGGAAATTGAGGAGAAAGAGCCATTGGCATCATTGGCAACGTCAACTCAAACTCCGTTGACTCCGTTGCGGCCTTTTGGTATCCTTTTTTGAATGGGAAGTTAGTTGCAGACTGCCGGCGATCCAGGTTGGAACGTCAAGGACGCCCCGCGGTTGGTGGGGCCGGGCCTCCAGGAAGATCCAAGTCGGACACCTGGGGCAGCCCTTGGAAAAGAGATGAAAAGAGAGATTGTAACCATTTAAAAGTGGTGTGTAGATATGATATAAATATATACATAACATACATAGTAGTATACATAATATATACAGGTAATGTGTGATATTGTATAATTATATAGATATATACATGTGTGTGTGTGTGACATGTGGGTATGGATCAAAATGATGATAAATTAAGCAGTCGGCTACATGGACTGGGGAACATAAAAATAGAGATTTTGTGAAGTTCGATAGTACCCCCTATTAATAGTCGTATGTTTGCGACGCAGACTTGTTCGGTGCAGGGTTGCCGTTCACAGCATTTTCAACAGCTGCTTAGAATGGCTGAATCCCTTCACATGCACGGCCTCTAGTGCCAAGTCTGGAAGGACTCCACCGAGAGGATCTGTATAGATGAGTACATTGTAAAATCCAATCCAATCGTGTCAAGTTCAATCCTGTTTAGTTTCATTGAGGTTGGGACTTTCAACTCAAGATGCTTCCTTACAACGTTGGACAGGATAAGAACTGACTTCCGGCCTTGAAAGTCGGCTCCCGTTGATTGACACACCACTGCCCCGCACGTGTTCCTGTGCAGGAAAGTGGATATTGCCGGCCTATCTACAAGCATGGAACTTGCCTCAGCAACGTGTGACTGAGACAGAAGCAATCGTGATCGGGCTGGTGGCTTCAAATATGAATGTTATATATATATATACTACCCCCTTGTTTTGGATGCTCCAAGATTGCAAATATTGAGGTTGAAACCAACAGTCATGATCATCTTTTAGCTTGAATCCTGATACATTCTATTCACCTGCCTCCGTCTCATGTTTTGAAGCAACTTCTGCACAGGTCAGGTCATCCAACCAAGGATTTCTAGTGAGTATACTGGTTGGATAATCCATGAATTCCTCTACCTTCACCACGGAGATTTGGCGTCTTTGTACCACGTTTCACTCGCAAACAGCAAGTCCAGAAGAAAATCAACTTGTTTCCAAAGTAGATTCCAGAATGGATTTTCCCAGTAGATGGATTTCCCCAAAATCAGAAGATGTTACATACCAGTTTCCCAGCAGATTCCAGAACATTCCAGCCCAGCTATGTTCGGAGATGTTTAGATGTTTGTAGAGTTTCTCGCCAGGACTCTCCTACAACCTCGCTCAACTCTTTATGCTGGCCGGGTCCATATTGACCATAGCTGCCATAGCTGGCAGTTTTTGGGGATCGCTTTGTCCAAAAGTTTAGGATACCCCTGTTTATGACAACTTTGATGGGAACTTTATGGGAAAAATTGAGAATGAGTTTCCAAACCACGGGATTTTTGGGTGCCTTATGCTCAGACAAACCTGAATATAAGTTCAAATGGTTACCACCAATAAATGGCGAATTTACGAGACAAGAATGGGGATGTTTGACCAAGAAATGTGTGGTGGTAAGTTTGTTTTCATGTTCCACCTCTGAAATGGGATAATGAATGATAATGACCATTAATGACCTATAAATTAACTCTTTGAGGATCCTTGACACCAAGAAGCACATCTGGAGCAAGCGCCCAAAGGATTTGTTGCATCGGGTGCTAACCTGCTGTTCCATCCCCTTACCGATGGCAATCCTAAGTTGGAAAATGATTCGCCATCAAATGGGTCAAATTCCATCAAATTCCAGACAATTCGCCATGCTAGACTTACTAGATCAGAGACTTGGTGGTTCATCCCACTTAGTGAGTTAAAAAAACAGTTATAAGTGGAACAATGCAATTATCCCACAACTGGGGTGAACTAACCTACTAAGTGAACCTTTAGCACCAAGTATGATGAACGGACAGTGATCATCACCTGGCGACAGTTAGTCAGACGTGGCCAGTTTCCGCGACAGTTTCGGAGCTGTGACCAACATCTAATACCTTCTGGTGATTCAAAATAGCTCCGGAAAATATTGGAAAATTGCCTTTACTCATAGCAAATTATATAATTGTTAAATTCCCAGAGAGATCCAGAGAGGTCAACCAGATTGGAAAGCTGATGATATTGTATCAAAATGTATCAAATGATTCATGACCAAAGTTTCGGCCTCATTTTGGCACCATTGCATTTTCAGTGCATGGGACTTGGGCCCAGTGCTCAGCATAACTGGACCGGACTCTCATCATCTTCGGGGTATGGGCTGGTCAGGCTTGGCCCTATGGAGACGGAGTGCGCAGCTGCCTCAGCCGATGGGATTGCCTCAGCTGTGAATAGAATATGTGATTGATTCATAATATTCATATTGATTCTTAATATCTCATATCATATCATATCATCTGAAGTCTGAGTCTCTTAGAATTGGTGGTTGGGTGTTTTATGTTTCTTATGATATGCCAGACATTTAGGGGTCAAATCCATTGACACGGTGGATGTCCCTCGGCGCCCAGGTATCATGTCATCATATGCGTTGGCCTCGGTGAAGCCCTTTTCAGACCGTTCGTAATGCCAATGGCAAACTCCTTGAGTCAACAGATTATATGGATATATATGGATTGGTTAGCAGCTTTTAATATGTTTTAATATCGTCAGGAAATTGGTTCTTTAGCCCCAACATATTTGGGTGAAGCTGCGCCCAGCGCCCCGCTTCGCCCCGAGGCCTTTGACGAGTTTCACCAGGGCCCACCGGGTGTGACAAACGGGAGCTGGCGCGATCGTCCCTTGTCCCCTTCCGGGTCAGATGCCCCAGGCTACAGAATGCTGATGGCTTAAAGATGACATCAAAACGTTGAATTATATAGTTAAATGCTGTTAAATCCTGTTAAATGCTGTTAAATCCTGTTAAATCCTGTTAAATCCCATGCCCCATTCATATTAGTTAATTACATTGGATATAACTGATATAACTGATATAACCATCAAAATGGTCATTGAATGGGATAGGTTTCTTTGGAATTGTCATGGTTTATAACTAACAAAATATACTTAGTCCCATCCCCCATTCATATGACTACACCCCCATTCTACGGTCCCTTTTTTTATCTGCAAATCATCCCCTACGTTTTAGCATGGTTGATATTGGATGTGTTTAATACCGAGGATGAGATGACAAAGCATCAGTATTATAACCTGGGAAGAGCTGGGGATTAACCACTGGTATTTACTCTAGAAGTGTTTGGTCGAAGCCAGCAATGGTACATGGTGGGGCCCCATGATATGTTGGTTTATAAGACCATTTGCCTATAGATATACCATGATATACCGTGATATACCATGATATACCATATACCCCCCAGAATGCCCCAGAAATCCTAGTTCTTGCAGTTATAAACCAACTCTTAGCTATCTTCTGGGCCCCACATCGCAAATCTATGGATTGAACGCCTCTTATTGCTATGAATTGCTTGTGCTCAGGCGGTGTCGATCCACTCCAACTACATCTCCTGTCACAGAGGAGTATGACCAGGACAATGCCGAAGATGTGAAATGTGTTTGGGTGCCCCCAATTTACAGATAGGGATAATATGGGAATATATGGGATAATGATGATTGTCCAAATTATCCCAATGAATTTCGGGTTACCCTATTTTCAGACAAACCCATGTTGCGGTGCGGTGCTTTTTTTATTGTCTAGGCGATTACATATGTATATAGATATAGATATAGACTAGATATAGATAGACGACAAATGACTGAGTTTGCCCGAGGTCTCAACAACTACGCAATTGTTATTCAACCCAAGTCTCAAATTCCTTCGCAAACGCATTGTTTTTTAGCTGTCAAAAACAATGAACCCTGAACCCTAAAACCCTAAAACCGCAAAGCCCTCAAGTCCTAAACCCTGAACCTCAAACTCTAAACCACTGAATACCACTGCTGGATATAGCCAGTGCGGCCAGTGTTTTTGCAAGATGGTCGGTTGCAATGACCTGGCAAACGGCTAACATGAAACAAGACAGAATGAATTGGACTAGAGTGAATTCGGACTTGAATATATTGGATATTCCCAAGTATTAGATAAGAGGTGCATGGACAGACACACACACATACACTGATCATCGGTTTGCCATTCTTTTGGAGAAGTCCGCGGTGCTGTGATCGACAAAGAACATGGATGAACCCTTCAAGGAGGAAGATGCTTTGAAGTTTTACCATTTCAACGTGTAAGAATCTTTTCACACAAAAAAACATGAAAGATCCATACAAGATCATACAAGTGTGTTTGCGTATCTTCCTTATTTCGTCATCAAAAATATCTCTGCACGCCATGTCCCAGCTGCAAATCGACCTTGACTGTGACTCGAACCCAGGACAGAATAAATCCATGGGTCTGGGGCCTCGGGAGGGGCAAAGAAGTCGCAGCAAAATAGTCTCGAGGGGACTAGTCCTCATTCGATATGTCATGTGTTGTAGATAAATTGTATCTATTATATGATATGTATATAATAGTATAGTATAATAATTATAGTAAGGGTATATTAATTTAATATATATATATGATATATTAAGATATATTAAGATATATTAAGATGTATTAAGATATATTAAGATATATTAAGATATATTAAGATATATTAAGATATATTAAGATATATATTAAGATATATTATTAATTAAGATATATTAAGATATATTAACGTATATACGTATATACGTATGTATATATATATATACGTATATACGTGTATATATATATATATACGTATATATATATACACGTATATATACGCCTATGCTTTTGTTTGTTTCTTTTTCTCTCTCTCTCTCTCTGTGTCTCTTTCTGTAAATAATATACATATATGATCATATATAATATGTATGTTAGACATATTACATATGATATATTATGTATACATATATATATATATGCATACATACAGGCACAGAGAGAGGGAGAGATAGAAAGACATTCCGTGTATCTGTATATATACCTTCATGATCGATTCCCAGTCATGTCGTTTCGAGCATGTAAACGAACCTGGGACAGACCCACCGACCCACCAACTATCAAGGTCTGCGAACATCGCTGGCAGGCGTGAACGTGTCATCACTATGTCACTATGGGGGTATCCTCAAGCTTCCGAGCCACCCAAAGCACCAGTTTTATAACCATAGTTGACCATGGCTTCATCACACCCGAGCTGCGCAAAAAAAAGAAAGTCCCTTGTGATCAGTGCATTCTTGATTTGGCTCTGTTTAGCTTGTTTTTCACTAGTCTTTGACTAGGGAGTGTCGAAAAAGGTTTCGGAATCCTGGGACCCATAGGACGTATCTCCCATTGGTAAGTCATTGGCCTCGTTTCTGGTGTTTGGGAAGGGATCAATCCATATTTGTTGAGGTAAATAGTCCACATGGGTAATTTGTCATGGCTACGTTACCAGAGGGTAATGTTGCACAATACCCCACTTGGCGTGTGCTCTATCGATCAACAATATCAAGAATAATGTTCCAAGCCGCTTGTGCATACCCATTCCATGTTTGATGAACATGGATCCAGTTCAAAATAAACGCGTTCGATGTTTGCCCGCCTTCCTGTGTGGAAGGGTTGCTTAAACATGTTTGTAAATGTATAATATGGACTATCCCATTCAATGGGGTGGCAGATTTGATCACTTACGAATATTGAAGTTGATATCCCATTCAATATTATATATATATAAGTTGATATCCAGTATATATATATATTGTTCAGAGGAGGTGGGGGTTTGATCCCTTCTAAAGATAAGTGGAAGTTGAAATCCCATCATATCCCATCCAATACATTGTTCAGAGGGGGTGGCGGATTTGATCCCTTTTTGAAGATAAGTTGAAGTTAATATCCCATTCAAAACATTGTTCAGAGGGGCTGGTGGGTTTGATATGTGATCCCTTATTAAGCCAAGTGGTGCAACCGAACGTGCGGGTTGCAGCGAACTTGTTTAACCAGCTAAACTTCTAAACCATGAAATACCATGAATATCAACCAATCTTATCCAATCTTGTGGTCAATCATGGTCATTCATCCATGAAAAGAGGCTACCCGGCTACCCATGGCACATCCCTCAGGGAGTCGCTGGCTTGGTGCGTTTCCGGCAGCTCCTGGGCGAGTTGGCCCACGGGGGTGTGCCTCGGATGTTCGGAATTTGGGAAAACACCAGGATTGAAGGACCGAAGTTTGGGAAATGCGAAAAGGATCGAAAAGGTGGAATTCTAAGCAGCAAAAACATGCAAAAACTGTGGAGCCAAGACAGCCAAGACAGGGAGTTCATCACCAAAGTTGATGGGTTTTGTGGCGAAAAAAGTCGTGAGTTCACCAGCAAGAACGCCAAACATGTTGGATAGAAACCACTACTGTAACAATAGGGATGTAACTACTGTAACCGCCGAAATTTATGGATTTCACCAACCAAAATGATGAACCATTCTCCACGGATTGTGTTGGGATGGGCATGGGTCAAATTGTGAAACCTTGGAACCCACAGATGAACTGATCATTCTCAAGGAGTGAACCATCCCATTTTGAAGGTACCAGTGACCTGACTAAGCTTTGGAGCTACTAACCACGGGAAGCCCTCGCTTTTTTCGGAGATGTTTTACGTTGCGGAGAGGTTCTTGCCTGAAGCTGGCTCTTGTGATAGGTTAGCGGGTTGATGTCCAGTGATGTCCAGTCAATTTCATGGAGGAATATGAACGAAATCCCGCTAAAAGACAGCTATCGTTGTTTGCAAATGTGTTCAAGCATTGAATCCCTGTGTGTTGATGGTCAAGGTCAAATAAAGGATCATAAAAATGCATGGATGAAATCCTAATTCTGGGGTTGCAAGATCTGGGTCAAACTCATTGACCCCAAAACATCTCCAGAGATCGAACATGCATGTGCTAATCTCAATGCCAACAACTCTACCATTTGAGTGACAAAACATGTAAAACCCAATATCCATCCCCGAGTCATCACCACTTGATTCATGTGATAAACTATATTTTATATATACATATACATACATATAATTATATATATATATACATACATGCATTCATATATATATATATGTGGTCTCTTTGCAACCCATAAAATGGTGACTTGGGGATGGTGGAAGTCAGGTGACCCGCTGGCGCACCTGGTCGGATAAGTTGGGGCACGTGGCCTTCGGTTCCTCGGTTCTGGGGGAGGTGTTCGGAGGTGATTTAAAAAAAGCACATTGGGGAGTTGATAAAAGGAATCCTGGGGGATAGGATGAAGCCAACTTCATAGCAGTCATAGCATTTTTTGATACTTTTTGGGGCTTGACTTAGCAACTCTTGTTGCTCAAAGCCACGATTTTCTGGCATTCTGCCTATCTTCAAACCCATTGAACATGATTTTCCTATTGCCTGAACACCCATTTTCTTGGGAGTTAAACTTACCATTGTTTTTGTTTATTTTGTCGGCCCAACCCGCATTGGGGTTCATCCAGGCATAGAGTACCGGGTACCCCCTAAATTCCAACGGTTTATCATCATTTTCTAATTAATATTTCCATGTTGGGGTATACCCTATGTTTGGTCAAACCGATATCATGTTGTTAGTAATATCATGCTACAGGCAAATGACAAAGTCGTCTCTTTTTTTCCAAAATTGAAGAATTTATTTAGTTTCGGGAGAGCAAACTTGGAAAGTCGTCTCTTTTCTTCTTTCCGCAAGCTGAATGCAGGCTTTTGCAGCATCCATGTTTGATT